AAGGTTACTTAAAAACACGCCAAGACGTGATTTTAGTACGTTAATTGAACGTCTATAATAATTAATTTTTGCAATTTATTAATTTTAAAGCAGCCGTGGAGCAGTAGTTAGAGTTCTGACCCAATCCAAAGGAATCCATATTCATAATATCATTGCAAAAAAGTAATGATAGTAGGATTTGCATATTCATACTATCATTGCAAAAAAGCAATGGTAGTTCTTTTTTATGACAAAAATAAATAGATATTCATTATTACCTTAACTATCTAATCGCAGGCATAGAGAAAATGTTTTCATTGCTTTTATTTATAGTAAAATTAATATTCGTAATTATAATAAAGTTGTAAAGCTGATTAAATATTACACTTATATATGTTGTCACACTATTATCGTTTTACGAATGTAAATAATAAAATAATGGTAGACTTTTTCTTATGCATATTTAAAAACCTTTTGTTAAAAAGATGCAATTAATACTTTTTTAAAAAGATTTTACTCATTTTAAAAAACTTTACTTAGACCGGTACGGTCGACACTTTTTTCTAGTGAGCAAATTCTAGTTTCGCTTTTTTTGTAAAACCCAGACCAAATTTTTAAAATAAGCAGTCTTTTGTCTGATTAACTAAATGTGAATCTAATTGAGTAGTGATCGACCGAAATTCTGTTTCAACCGAAATTTCAATTTGAACCGAAGTTTTGGTTTCGTTACTTTTTATATATTCGGTAAAAAAGCAAAAATTCGTTTTTAATTCATACTGAAAACTGAAAATTGGAACGTTGGAATATGTCTTATAGGCCTTATCTAAGTTATTCAAGCTATTCTTTCACACGTGTACAAAAGTTGAAATCTAGAAGCTGTTCAAAAAAAAATTTTGGTTCAAAACTTTACATTTTGTTTTCTCTTTTTTTTTAAGTCGTTAAAATTCATTAAACCCAATTTGTTTAAAATTTGACAAGATATTTAAAAACAATATAATTAAGATTCTTGCAAAATAAAAATTCTTTGAAACGTGTTCTAGGGATCCCAGCTAGCACACCACGATGTGTTAACGTAGTATACTTGCAAAACAACGGTTCCGATGTTTACCCAACGTATTGGGATGATATGCATGTTAACTCAATCTACTATAAGGGAAGATGGGTAGGAGTGAGCTACTTTTTTTTAAATCGATTATATCAAGGAAACCAAAAGTGGAAAAAGTTTAGGATAAAGAGCCAAAAGTAGCCTAGGGTATTAGGTTTCTAATAGTAATACATGAAATATCAAAATATCTTTAGATTTTTGATAACTTCAACAAAAACGCAGTTGTTGCTACTGGTTCACCCCTACCCATGCATGGGTAGGAGTGAATTAAGCATATGATAGCAGTGAGCCATTATCTCTAATTACCAGAAAACTAAAATTAGATACTTTCTTTAAGTAATTTAATAAAAATTAAGTAAGTAACAACAACTTTTTATTAAGCATAACATAATTAAGTAATAATGTAACATAAATAATAATAAATTTAACACAATTTTAAAGTCTTGTAATGAATTAAACAAAATGTATAAACTACAAAAAAAAAAAAAAAAATTAATTTTAGTAACAACTGATTTCGGCAACAAAACAAAAAAGTTGGCCGAGATATTTAGCAAGAAATATTTTAGAAGTTATTGCAGTTACTCTAATCCTTTTTTCTTTTTGGATTAAATGCATCTTTCATATCTTTATTGGAAGTTTTTGCTTTTGAAGTTGTTCTTTTATAGACTTGAGGCATTAAAGCATATGGTCAAGATAAATGTAATGTTGCGCACAAGTATTCTAATGATATACTAAATTATAAAAGTAAATTTTCAACGACTATCTAATGTCTAAAAACAACCGGTATGCTCGCTAGAGAAGTTTCAAAAAATACAAAAAATTTACTTTAGCCCAGAAAAGTGTGGATGACAACGTAAAAAATGACACCCGCACCAAGGAGCGGTAAAAAAAATGGATTGTGTTAACAGCAATTTATTTGTAACTACTTGGTGAAAATTTTGAGTCTTTTTCATTTCCTGTTTAAGCTGAAGGATCAACGATTCACTCCTACTCTAGGCTCACTCCTACCAATCCTCCCTACTGTTAGACTTTTCCTGCAACCAATCTCTTTTGATAGCAACAAAGACAATGACGATTGTATACATAAAATACACTAAATATTTGTATAAAATTCTCAAAGAAATAAACTCCAATAAAATTTACCTATAGACGGCAGTAATTCATGTATTAAAAACTATTTATTACTAACGTGGCTTAAAAACTGCATAACAGTATACAGAACATCAAATAAAAAAATAATGGAGGTCAATCTGAAATAAAAATAATTAAATATTCAAGCTAAGTAATACAAATGCATATATAAAACTTCTTTAGTTAGTTCATCAAAAAAATAATTTATAACATCTTTCTTAACAACAGCGAACAATTTTGTTAAATATAAACAAGTTTTTTACCATTCAATCATTAGCATTGAAAATTGTTGAACTAAATAGCCATGCATATTATAACCTTTTGATTTAAGACCAATTTTTCCATAAAATTAAAGATTGGAACTTTCCCATTAACATGTCAACGACCCATAAATCATTTTGCAAAATAATTTTTGGATTATTGCCATGTATTAAATAAAAATAACACAAATAAAGCAAAACTGTCTTTAAAAAGTCATTTATGTATCAATTGAGAAGATAGAAGCCACACAATACTATGTAATATCCTTATGTTTTGAAGTCTTCCAGTAATATATAATACTGCATAGCTCACTGATTAGGAGGCTGTGCTCTATCTATAAATGCGTCAAGTTCTCATTAAACCCAAATCATGACCAAAGTAACCAAAATTTTAAACCTAAAAAACCATCCCCACCACCTAAATGTTTTATATCTTTTACAAATATTCGCGGTCTGCGAAGCAACTTTCCGTCAGTTGAGTCTTACCTCAAAATTCACCAGACTTGCTTGCACTCAGTGAAACAAATTAAAATTCTGCAATTCCTTCTTCAGATGTCAATGTTGATGGGTACTATCCTTCGATTCGGAAAGACTCCAATAGTTAATTCAATAGTTAATTCCCCTATTTGTCGTGAAATCAGGTTCGAATCCTTTGACCATTCTTTTATGTGCTTTCGCCTAGCACCTCTTCACTCGATTACCTTTCTCTTTGTTCTTTATCGTTCTCTTTCTTCCCATGATTGCACTCTTTTAGATGTTATCTCTGATCAAATTGACAATGCCCTCTCTCTTTACCCCTCTGCCAATATTGTTGTTGTAGGTGATTTTAATGCCCAGCACACTGAATGGCTTGTCTCTAACAATACTGATCCTGCTGGCACTAAATCCTTTAACTTCTGCGTTTCTCAATCTCTTACTCAGTTAACTTTGTGACTCGTTTTCCTGACAACCCTAATCATTTACCTGCAACCCTTGATTTGTGTCTTGTCTCT